CATAGACAACAGAAGACTGTATTTTTTCTACTTAACTCCCCCCTGAATTTAATGCTGGATCCGCCCCTGGGTACAGGGTGACCACTATGGGCTACTTGCGTGGATCGTTACGAATTTCAATGGCTTCGGGGCGGTGCAAATTACAAGAGATATTATGAAAATTTACAAGCGACAGAAACACATACAAGTAGCCCATCAAAACCAATGACACTTTCAGGTGTCTTTTGACGATTCAACCAATGTGTTCTTCCAACTAAGGATTTGATCTAAAGAAAACTAGAAATATTACGTACAGTGTCCCAAAAAAATGAGTCGCTATCGGCATCTCCAAAATATAAACAATTGCTCAACTAGGCACATGAAATGAAATCAAATATTGCAATAAAATAAAATCACTTTATTCCTAAGTGTGACTAATGATTTGCAGAAAAAAACGTCTTACTATGTACAAACACACACTACACACGCAGACATTCAGATGCCAAAACTAAACTGAAATCCTTAATAAATTGCTCACGAAGAAGTGATTAAATGAAAGAAAACACAGTGCGAAAATTCTTTGCTCCAAAGAACGCGTCCAAATGGCACTTATTGATGTTGCCATGTATCTCCACACATATCCCCCCTTCATCTCTTTCTTCTTCATCAATGTTGTGGCGCTGAACAACCGCTGTGTGACTTTTTGCTCGATGTACAAATGCTTGTCGGTGCATTTTCGATCGATTTCAACTTCGTATGTGGATTATGGTATTGATGCTCGTCAGACTATTTCCTTTATGTTACATAATCAGTCTAGGAACAAAGAATTTTCCGATTCCCAGAGACACACACGAGATGCTGTAACGATTTGGTATCAACAATTTCCGACTGGAGTGATCCGGAAGCAACTGAGAGAAGCACTCAAGTTTTCATCAATTCTAAAATGGAATTTTGCTTGTCTGATTCTGAGAATTCCACTCCCTCCGATGCATCCCAGCTTCTGTCTTTTTTTCACATTGCCTTAATGTTGTTGCATCGAACGAATGGAGGTGAATATTTGCTTTATTTCAAATGAGACATCGCAAATAGATTGTAGGTATATGCGTCATCTGCTTTAAAATAAAGCAAATATTCACTGAGATTCGTTCCGTTCGTTCGATGCAGATCCAATACGCACTCATCTTTGATATTCGTTTATTGTTGGCCTGATCAGTTCAATAATGGGCCTTAAGCCAATCGTCCAATCGAAAGGAGACGAGTCCACTGTGATCAGTTGTTACCAAATCGTTACCGCAATGACCACTTAGATCCTGCATGCGCTTCTTGTTCTAAAAAACTCTTCAGTTCTTATCGCTCACCGATCGCCTGGCACCTCTGGATATGTTGGAAACGGGCCTTCGTGTTCCATCCGAATATCGCGATTCGTCTCCACTGTTTCCAACATCATCCAGAGCTATTATGACACCCACTAGCACAATATGTAGGTAGTTGTATGCGTTTTTTCAGTCCGATGCATGGCTTTGTGTTTGGTGTGTACCGTCAGAGATTAGTAGGGAGATCGCCGATGAACATGCAGCCGTTTTCTCCCGAAACAAACACACAAGTTACTACTTCTAACTTGTAACAACTCTCAGAGGAAGTAGTGTAGGGGAGGTAAGTAGTGGGGCGGTGCGCCTCAGCAGCAAACGCCATCCGATTTGCGCTGGTTTCCAAACGGCCAAATTTAAAAATTTTTAAAAACGCGCGATTTTATGGAGCCTCTAATAATGAAAAAAAAATGAGTCTACCGATTTTCTACCGAAAAGTGTCGAGCTGGCAACCCTGAGCTGAATGCTCCGATATACGGATAACTAGTCGAATTCAATGGATTTTTATTAAAAATCCGTGGGACTATTTAAAACTGGTATTTCCAACATTATCACATTTCCAACAACACCTTGTATACTTTTATAAAATACATTACATT